CTGGGTGTTACTGATGCAAAATAAAGCGCGATTCGTACTCAAATTTGCGCTTGAAAAAATCTTTCAAAATATCTTTGATTACGGTATGAACTTGAATATGGCTTTAGCGGTGGCATAAGGAACTATTGTTATTGGTCGAGGAATAGTTCTGATTAAGAACTTGTCGGCCGGGTTTATTTAACACACTGAGCCCAGCTGTGATAATCGTGTAATACCCTAGGTGTTCTACCAAAGTTCATTAAGTTTAGAGGCAACGCCAAAGCCGTTTTGGATTTTAGAAAACAGTCGCAAAAGTGCGTTATAAGTATGCCGAGTATTAGCTAACACTTTAAAAGAAATCGTTTTGGCTTGAGAAAAATCTGCAAGTTGAGGACTTATGAACAATCAACAGTGATCACAATTTTTTCTGGAAAACCGGTATTTTGCAGCAACCAATTCGAAAATCTAAAAGAATACGATTATTGATGATCTTGAACAAGTTTAGATGTTAATGCATTGCTAATAGTATTTGGTATCAGATTTCGGAAGAATAAAAATGAAAAGTGGTCCAGGCAATTTTTTGTGGGGAATTGTATCTCATCTCTGCAGGCTTACGCACGCTGCAGGTGCGCCATGCCCTTTCAAACTGATAAGAGAGTTTTTCTTGGTTTTTGTTTAATAAGGTCTTCGCTTTCCAAATAAACATTCATGTTGACTTCAACCATAGAATACTTCTTTATGAATGATTACAATGGTGACAGAACTGGTCTTGCCCACCCGTGTAGTTTGAATTAATTTAGGTTTCGGTCTACTTGTTTTTGGGTTACTTCGAAAAAAGAGATACGTTCTAGCACCTTTCCCATCTCATAATTCTCCTAATTTCTGCATGCAGCTGACCAATTTAGTGCATCCTTGTTGGTTAACAGCGTTGGTTTAATGTAGCTTTGCTCTCAAGCTCTTTTATGTGCGAACGTCTTTTAAGTTTGATCACATAATCCCTATCACAGCCCTCCATCCGCTCTAGTAGGTTCACAATAACTTGTACAATGCTTCTCCTTACCTTCTATGTATCCATAAAACCACTTCAATAATGGAATTAACAGTCTATGAAC